GCTCTTTCTCTTTCGCGCTCTTTCTCTTTCGCGCTCTTTCTCTTTCGCGCTCTTTCTCTTTCGCGCTCTTTCTCTTTCGCGCTCTTTCTCTTTCGCGCGCTCTTTCTCTTTCGCGCGCTCTTTCTCTTTCGCGCGCTCTTTCTCTTTCGCGCTCTCTTTCTCTTTCGCGCTCTCTTTCTCTTTCGCGCTCTTTCTCTTTCGCGCTCTTTCTCTTTTGCGCGCTCTTTCTCTTTTGCGCGCTCTTTCTCTTTTGCGCGCTCTCTCTTTTGCGCGCTCTCTTTCTCTTTTGCGCGCTCTCTTTCTCTTTTGCGCGCTCTCTTTCTCTTTTGCGCGCTCTCTTTCTCTTTTGCGCGCTCTCTTTCTCTTTCGCGCGCTCTTTTTCTGTTCTCCTCATACCCTGTGTAGCGTGGCAGAGCTCCGGTCCGCGGTACAGGAGTTTCTTTTTCCTGTACCCGGTCGTGCTCACTCAGAGTACTTCCTGTGAGTCTGGTCAGGTACAGGAAACGGATCCTCGCGAACCGCACCGAGGCATGGCCATGCTACACTGAGGGACTGACTGGAGGGAGCACCGTGCACTTCCCTCCTGCTGATCCCTCATATCTTGCACGCTCATGGATGCGCCGGCCCAGGCAGTGCTGCAGCCCTGCATGAACGCATACCCCCGATGCATGATCTGATTGGTCTGTTTAGGGTGAGTGCTAACATCTTCTAGAACCAATCAGATAATGCATCGGGGGTATGCGTTAATGCATGATCTGACTGGTGCATGGGGTTACCCAATCAGACCAGGCATCATCTGAACACGAACAGCCTCTCACACAGGAAATGCCTTTCAGGAGGAGGGGAACCTCTGAGTGATGCACATAGTATAACTGCTCCTGCACTGTGTATCATAGGACAGCAATGAGCGAAATATACCATAACTTAATGGCTGGAGTTATAGTACAACATGAGCGGGAGTATAGGGACAGGGGACCATGTTCAGGGAAACCGTGTAATCCATAAGCTGTTAATTGTTGATCCTTTTCTGCTCCCAGTGCACCCCTTGGAAGGAGAAGTCCTGTTGTACGCCAGCAATCAGCCAAGAGGCGCACAGTGACCAGTCCTACCTCTACAATTTTGACTGGAACCACTGTGGAGCAATGTCCCCGGAATGCAAGAAACACTTCATCCAAGACACCTGTTTCTACGAATGCTCCCCTAATTTGGGGCCTTGGATCCAGGCGGTGAGCCCCTGTCATGTTTCATGTGTGTGCAGTAATCGGAGTGCGGGTTTTATACTGTATTCCCACCATATGTCCATGCCTTCCTGTCTTTCGTTCTATGGTATCGCTGTGGCCACGTGCCTACGCTGTATTAATGTTTTCATTTCTACCCTGACTTTACTGACCCTTGGGCCACGCAAAATAGGAGTTGTTTAGTGGGTTGAAAAGGATTAAGATCCTACAGTCCCCTAGGTAAGTTATTGGATTGGTGACCCCCATTTTTTTTCTTCACATGAAGATAGTGGATAGAACCAAGCAAATTCATAGTTCTGGGCCAATGTCAAACCACTGGGACCTAGGGTCATGTTATCGTTAATCCTATATAGATTTATAAAAATAAGGGCGCGCAATCACTTAGTAAAAAACAGTATAGTAAACAATATGTAAATAATAATAAAAAAGCAGCTAAAAATACACTGGAAACATTCGATTTCCACATACAATCTATTAATAATTGTGTTAGCGCTATATCAGAGAAGCCCACAGTTATATGCTGGGCACCCTAAAAGTAGTAAGTGGGGAAGAAAAAAATAACAACCACTTATTGCATTAAAATGTCAGTTCTATACAAAACCTAAACATTTCCCACAATTATTTGGTCAATATGTGTTCTTCCTAAAACAAATATATAATATTGTCCCAGAGTCCTTTTGGTATTGCAGGGGTTAATCTCGCCACATCGGTAAAATCCACTGCTTTGGGATACAATGTATGCCGCAACAGATGGGACCTTAAAAAGATCCTCATAGTGCAACACTGTTTTTAATTATTAAAAAAGTAAAAAAACCTCTCCACCCAAAGCGAACCCTTACATGGACTAATGGTGGTACTTGTTGCCAAGACACCACAAACAAACATGGGTTTTATACGAATGGAATAGATGTTACTGCCCGTCCTTATCTTCTCGGTCAGACTTAAATCTCCCTACTGTGCAGCTGACAGTTGCTTTTGGAGAGACGCCAAGTATGCGGACCGGTGTCGGCAATCCCTTCGTATTCACCCTTTTCAAACAGAAGCCGCTAGCACTTCAACGCGTTTCGCCCTAATAACCTGGGCTTTTTCAAGATAGTGCGCGGCTTCATAAGTTAGTCTTGTATAGGTTCGCATCAGACCACTTTTAAAGTGCCAGGTTGTAATAAAATATTTTTCTTTCCAGGAAAAGTGCTCCTGTTTCTCTTGTATACCGTAAAGTTAGTAAATATTTTCACATAAAAAAAAAAAAAACACATATGCAAATACCTTGTAGATGTGAACATATAAGGACATCATTATTTATATAAGAAACTTATTCATTGAAAATTTCATATCAATGTAAATGTAGACTTGGCAAAAAACCATTAATAATATACTTTAAAGACTCCGTACATACTCAAATATTGTGTGGATATATAGATGTTCGATATAATTCATGTGTTGTATCACTCCACAAGTTAATATCTACACGTCATTATGTCTAAAAGTTGTATGTTAATATTTAAATAAAATTGGATATATTCTTAGAAGGATTATCATATGTTTAACATATATATTTTTTTTTTAACACTTTTTTTAACCAATTCACCACCTCTCCATGGGATAGTAACCCTTTCAATCCCACAATAGCTCAAACATCCTGGATTATTTGCATGATGGTCTGCAAAATGTTTAGATACAGAGTGTTTTTCAAACCTTCTTTCATGTTGTGTAATGTTCATTCAACCTTACTCTTAACATTCTTTTAGTTTGCCCCACATACTGTAGCTCACAGGGGCAATTTAGTAGGTACATCATTTGTTTTGAGTGACATGTAATGCATTCCTTTTATGTCAAATTACTCCTTAGTTACGACAGAATAAAAACTTGAGATTTTTCCATAGGGAGGACCTGTTACTTTACATACATTACAGCTACCAATGTGTCCAATTAATGGATTAGCTCAAAAAGAAATTAGAAACAATCTTTACAGAAACCATAGAAACAAAAAAGAAGAAATTTGAGAGATCAAAAAGACCTTTCAGGAAATAAAATTAGGAATAGTCGTAAAAAAAGTCCACTAATCATTCATTTAATACACATACTCCGCGAAGAAACAACAAGACTAATCAGGGAAACAGGTGGATTGGAACTCGTGGTAGATCTAATACGGATTACCACCAGGAGGACAACCCCCAAACAGGGAGACACAATTCACCTAAGACCCCTAAAGATAAAGGTTAGACTTTAGTCACTAACAAGAAAAGGAGAAACACAACAGTTATGAAATCAGGGGTTTCAACATCACAATCTATCACCCATGTAACAAAGAACTTCACTTCTAATAAGTTCGCAGTTCGGAACTCTAAAGAGGAAGGGAGACTGAATCAAACAATTTTTTAGGACCAAGACAAATGTTCCTAAATCGCCAATCCAAGACAAAAAGAGACCTCTAAAAAGGGGATACAGAGGAGGGAGAAAAATGCAGAAAAGAGAATAAAGTGGTAAAACTGGTAGGAATTTTTAATTTGGCCAATATTCCTTTAACATTAGATCAAATAAAGGTCTGAAATATGCACCAGCTATTAAGTCTGACACTTTCAAAAACTTTTTAGATGTTCAAAAATTTATAAATCCAACAAAACTTTGACTTTTAAATCCAACCAAAAATGCAGTTACAGAACGGAATTCATTTAATTGTCCAATTATTTTTAATTCTAGTAGTCAATCAAAACTTGTAAAGAAAAGTATAAACCAACATTGGCATCTCTCGAAACAGGATCCCCATTTACCGGCACTTTTACCAGATAAACCAAGAATAGTTTTTAGAGGTGCCCCCACAATTAAAACTAAATTAGTTAAGAGTTTTTGACCACCAAACCAGAGACACTTTTTTTTTTTCACAAAAAGGCTTTTTTAAAGTGTGGTAGCTGCACTGTACGTGTGTTAAATGAATGATTAGTGGACTCTTGATTTCTACGATCTTTTTATGACAATTTCTAATTTTAGCAGATGCTGGTGTACAGACGAACTATATTACAAGGGCAATTTTGAGCAGCTTTTCCACATTTGGACAGTGTAGTATCATTAAGACACAGTGCTGCAGGCTCCTGCTGTAGTAACCAAGGCCCTCAGGGACCCAACTCATGTTGATGCTTGTTTCCCACCCAGGTGGACAGTTCCTGGAGAAAGGAACGGATACTGGATGTACCCCTGTGCCAAGAGGACTGCGAGGACTGGTATAATGACTGCAAGAGGGACTATACGTGTAAAGATAACTGGCACGTGGGATGGAATTGGACAGGAGGTAAGTGCTTGACCCTGTGCTCCCTTTTCAACCTCTAGGGGTCGTATCTGGGTGCTCCAGCATTTATAGGAACATTGTTGTTGAAGAGTCCAATACAGGCGTTACCATAGTGAGTGAGGGTCTTGATTTATACAATAGCGCCCATTGTTGTCTCCATGGACTTGACCATGCTGGCGATTTATGTGTGGGGCCATTGTATTTAATTTAAAATCGATATGGAAGGAGTAATACTACCTGAGAAGTCAGTGTTTTATTGTCCAGTTTAGTAATTGCGCCATATACATTAAAGTCGGCTCTCTAATTTAGCGTTTTAGACTGCTGCCTAAGGCCTTGCGGCCGCCTAAACCACCTTAGGACAGACTGTGTTGGGTCCTAGGTCAGTGACAGAAGACCCGACACCAGGAGGGTGCCCGGCGGCTTGTTCAGTATGCCGCCATGTGCAAGGCCCCTCCAGGCTGCCCCTGTGTGCAGAGCTACAAACCATGTGTCTTGCGAGATCTGGCCAATCAGAGTGTTGCCGCGTGTTACCACAGCAACGCTTTGACTGGGTCTTGTGAGATGCATGGGCTGCAGCTCTGCACAACACAGCGAAGCTGCAGACTGGATATCCCCACCGGACCACCAGGGAGTCCACTGGATTACCAGGGAGCCCACACTGGACGATCAGGGAATGACAGAAGTTATGTATTCCCTCCTCCCTCTCACCATCAACTACCCCCCCTTCCTCTCATCAACTCCCCTCGCCATCAACTCCCCTTCCCTCTCTCGCCATCAACTCCCCCTTTCCCTCTCGCCATCAACCCCTTTCCTCTCAACAACTCCCCTTTTCCTCTGCCATCAATCCCCTTTCCCTCTCGCCATCAACTCTCTTTTCTCTCGCCAGTATCAACTCCCCCTTTCCTCTCGCCATCAACCCCTTCTCTCGCTATATCAATCCCCTTCTTCTCTCGCATGACAACTCTCCCCTTTCTCATCAACTTTCCCTTTCCTCTCAACTTTCCCTTCTTTCCTCTCCTCTCACCATCAACTCTCCCCCTTCCTCTCTCGCCATCAATCCTCCCCTTCCTCTCTCGCCACATCAACTCTCCCCTTTTCCCTCTCACATCAACTCTCCCCCTTTCCCTCTCCTTTCCTCTCGCCATCAACTTCCCCCTTTCCTCTCTCGCCATCAACTCTCCCCCCTTTCCCTCTCGCCATCAACTCCCCCCTTTCCTCTCACATCATCAATCCCCCCTTTCCTCGCCATCAACTCTCCCCTTTCCCTCTCGCCATCAACCCCTTTCCTCTCTCTCGCTATATCAACTCCCCTCTTCCTCCTCTCGCCATCAACTCTCTTCCCTCTCGCCATCACCCCCACGTATTTGCCTTGCTTCATAATATCAATATCCTTTTATAAAACCAGGAAAAGGTGGGCATTTATAGTGAGCTGATTCGGTGGTGCAATGGGCCACTTGACTGGATTTGCCCCCCAGGCCTAAGGCTGCCAGCCCTCCCCTGCATCACATGATGTAAATCACAAGGTGTGACGTAAGAGAAAATGCTGTAAAATCACCAAAAAACTACTTAGTTTGATTCTGCTGTATAGATGGATTGCCCCCATGTCGCCCAGTGTCTGTCCCCTGGTCTCCCAGTGCCACCAGGTTTGTGTCCTTATGTATCAGTGTCTCATGCCTCATGTCTCCCAGTGTGTCTTATCTCCTCACGTCTCCCAGGGGCTGCTTGTCTCTCTAGGACACCGGGGGACACTGGGACACAGACACTTGGGACATCGGGACACTAGATTAAAATGTACAAACCAAAATAAAAACTTGTTGGTAATGTTGATCTGGTGAAGCTTTTTTTACTAATTCACCACTGTGGGATAAAACTTGAAACTGTGTAATTAGATGGAATTTACTGTTTTTTCATGCCAACTAGATAAGCTTTAATAACAAAAGATATTGTCTAATATATGGGTAAATTTATTTTCCAACAGGGATTAATAAGTGTCCGGAGGGCTCGCAATGCAGAACAATTGGTGACGTGTATGGAAGCGCAAGCAATTTTTGTGAGACAGTCTGGAGCAATTCCTACAAGTACACCACCCACAAACGTGGCAGTGGGCAATGTCTCCAGGTCTGGTTCAATGTCACGGATGGGAATCCAAATGTGAAGGTAGCAGAGTATTATGCAAAGCTCCGGGGTGGTGCCAACGTGCCACAAGTTGGCTTGCTCCTTCTGGTTTCTCTCACTGCCATGGGGATCTTAAACTTTGATTGACTTTACTATTTTACCTGCAAAAAACTTTAATCTACTTCTCGATCCAACCAGACAGAGCCTACTGAAAATTCCCCAGAATTCCAGATACCTTGCCAGAGGTTGCACCCAATACGGTCTTTAAAACGGATCTATAAACCAAACGTCATACCATATCAGAGGCTCTATGTAATACTGTCTCCAATATGGACCTTGAAACCAAACCTCATACCATATCAGACACTGTACCCAATACTGTCTCCAATCTGGTTCCAGAAACCAAGTCTTGTACCATATCACAGATTCTATGCAATACTGTCTCCAATATGGACCTAGAAACCAAATCTTGTACCATGTCAGAGGTCTACCGAATACTGTATTCCATATGGACGTTGAATCCACATCTGTAGTTATCTTTTTATCACGTCAGACGTATCCAACGTAAGCTTAGAAACCAATTTTCCAATGATTCAGCTTAATTCTTCTCCTCCTATTTATTCTTTATGAACATGATATAGTGTGCAATGTATCCAAGTATGGGTGTGAGATCAATGGTTTGAATCTATTTCTCCTTGTAATGTACAGGCCGAGGGTACCCCTTCCTCAGTCCTGACCTCCCTTACAGCTCTGACGTGTGTGTTTTAATCTGCTAAGGTGTGTATTGATGATTTATTGGGTTCTGATCTCCTGCACCCTGTCTAGTTCCTGCAGAGATGAATGAGGTGTGTGTGTGTGTTTGCTACTATTGCTCACTCTGCTATGATGGGGCCAGGGTTGTACTGTTTGTGGCCAGCAGAGGGAGCTGGAGCACCACAGTCTGGATGACCGGTTTTTCTCTGGGTTATAAAACCAAATAAAGATTTAGTGTGAAGAAATCCTGGAGTTTGTGTTTCCTTCTCTATCTGTTGCAGTCCTCTATCTTTGAATGGTTTAGTTTTATCTGCAAACTGATGTCCTGTGAAACCAGGGTTTGGCTCAGACTCAACACCTATTTCATGCTAAATACCAATGGTGACCCCTCTAACAAACAATAATAGTTTGAGTTATTAACCAGCGATCAAACCGGAATATGTGGATGCTGTATAAATATGAAATAATAATTTAGCCTTAATTTGTTAATGCATATATCTTGGGACTAGATGTTATTACCAAACTTAAAAGGACACTTGAGTCACCAGAATAACTACCGCTTAATGTACAGTATACAGCTTATTGTATTTGTTCTGGTGAGTAGAATCATTACCTTCAGGCTTTTTGCTGTAAACACTCTATTCAGATAAAATGCAGTGTTTATATTACAGCCTAACGATAACTCCACTGGACACTCCTCAGATGGCTGCTAGAGCTGCTTCCTGGGGCAGTGCTGCACAGTGTGACTGACATTCAGTGTCTTCACCCTCTGCATGCAGACACTGAAGTTTCCTCAAAGAATAATTGATTTAATTAATTTCTACGCGGAGATGCTGACTGGCCAGGGCTGTGTTTGACTTGTGCTGGCTCTGCCCCTGATCTGCATCCTTGACCGTCTCAGCCAATTCTATGGGGAAGCATTGTGATTGGCTCAGACCATCACTTCTTCTTGCAGAATCAAAAGGTTAATTTAACGTTCTAACAAGGGTTGGCTGTGAATCTAGTTCTATTGACGTCTGATATGTTGGATTTTAATTATGATAAGAATACTGATATTTTGTAAAACAACTGCTTCTGGTAAATGTCCATTAACAATTCTAGAGAAAAATGAGTACTCGCCGAGGTTTTTTTTTATTTTTATTTTTTTATTTTTTTTTAGGTTAGATCATTCTTGTCTCTCTCTATAACCCACCAGAGGGTAGTGTCAGGTTTTTAGTCTAATTTTATTTATTTTTTTTAAACGAACAATTTACAAATAATTTCACCTTTCGAACTGTTTAACGGATGTTGGTGAACTTTCTTTATTAGTTATGACAGTAGTTTGTTAGTAAATGCACACCAACACATTCCGCAGTGCATGCAATCTATTTTGAATGCACACAGCTCTTCCTGTGACATGCAGAGCGCGTTGCACAGCGGCGTTCCTCTTTGACCCGTGCAGCGTAGAACCGATGGGTGTTAAAACTCTTACCATACAATGGTGTTAATACTGGCTGTTATTAAAGTGTTTTAGCACTTAGCTTTACTATAACACATTCAGTAATGGTTATTTACTAACGTGGCGATTGTCATTTCAACTTTAAGGATAAAATAACTGAATTGTAAACATTTGACGTCCGCTTTTGCTTCCAGTTCACCTATTTGGAAATTCTATAGAGTTATTCGGTTTAAGGTGGCTTTGCTCGTGCAAATCCTCCTATCCTGAATATTATCACCAAATAGACACTCCAGTGGTGTCTGGAGCTTAACCCCTATTTATAAGTTGTAAAAAAGTGTCAAAACAGAAATTCGGCTTAGATTACTGATGTACACTGGATATGTGAAACACTTGGCAAATATTCACTATCCAAAAACACATACGAGAGAGTATTACTAAGTAAGTACTAAAGCTGTTAAGCTTTCCTCTGACTGGGAATTAAACTCAAACCCCTTACATGTAAGCTTTATTCATAATGGCCACAGTAGGGGGATCCTCGAGAGAATCTATTAGTGGTTGATAATCCAGACTATAATTCTGTCTAGCAGACTATATGGAGATAGTTAGCATACTGTTCACTCCAGTATGTGGAGTTAGTGAAACCTTATTTTGAGGCTAGCTGGTATGTCTATGGTTTGTGGTACAAGCTTATTACCTATGTAGACATGCAGAATTCTTATGTCTAAATATAGTGGAAATAGGATTGAAGTACTATGTTAAATTGAGCTGAAAGGTCACAAAGCATAGATTCAAGAAAAGGCCTCTTTCCCTGGTAAACTCACTAAACTGTCAGAGATAGACAGAGGAAAAGTTCCATGCTAATTTAAAATATTCATGCCTACAGTGTGCATGATATAATACACCAACATGATAGTGTGTTAAGGTGCCTTGTGAAGTTACCCGACGTGCGTTTCGGTGCACAGTGTGTACCTTTTGTCAGGGGTTACTTAGACTCTGACATTTGTGTGTTTGGATATTGAATATTTGCCAAGTGTTTCACATGTCAGTAGTCAAAGCCAAATTTCTGTTTTGACTGAGGTTATTTTTATGTCTTTTTTTTTTACATGTTTGGAAATTCTGTTTCAATTCATGACAACTCTCTCGTTAGTGAATAACCTTGTGTGAGCGTCTTCGCTAGTTTGTTTATAGGAGGAAAGGGTCCAGAAGAACATTAATGCTTGGCAGAGACAGACGTACCCTCCTTCCTGCACTAGTATCCTCAAAGCACCGACGCTATATATACATACCAACAGTTTGGAGGACCTGTCTGGATGCATTTATACGACTAGTTAGGTGTATGGTTGAATGGTGAATGTGACTACATTTGGCTCGATTAGTGGGTTGGGGGTGTGTAGGCTGTTTGTGGGGTTGCCTGTCTGGGGATGGCTGCCTGTTGCATTTAGAGGCATAGTGGCCGTAGTGGGGGCGATCTAAAGAATTGGAAGGACAGCCTGGTGTGAATGCATGTCGGCTGTCCCAATAATGGTGGGAGGCCAACTAAGGGCGGGCTCTGAGCTTGGCATGAATGCTAATGATGCACTTGTTCTATGCTTTCTGGGGACTGTCCCCTAACATTCACTTGTCCACTCCCCTTCTTAATAGCAGGTATAAGCTCCCAGTATGCAGTCTGGGACAGAGAATAGGTGGATGTAGTGAGTGTAGAAGAAAGGGGACATGTCGCAGTCAGTGGCGTCTCTAGTCAGGGCCGCCATCAGGGGGTGACAACAATGACGGTTGTCACGGGCCTGGGGGGCCCGGACTGCACAGGTAATCCTCTGCACGCCTGGGCCCCCAGCCCTTCAATCTGTGTGTGTGTGTGTGTGTACCGTTATGTGTATATATCTCTGCTGGCTTCCAAGCAGGGCCCAGGACACAGACCTGTAAAGCGTTGCTGCGGGTTGTCATGACAACGCTTCGAGGCACGCAATGCATGCTGGGCTCACGTCAGAAATAGAGCGCTGGCTGGCAGGAGGGAGAACATGGAGGGAGTCTGCTGGGCTCCTCCTTGCTGGCCCAACAAGCGGATCCACCGGACCACCAGGGAATCCAGCGTCCCTCCTCCCTGGCTACAGGTAAGAGGCAGGGAGGGGGGAATACATTTTTTTTTTTTTTTTTTAATTCAACATCCAAAAATACCTCCCAGCAGCATTTGTCACACATCCACCAGACACATACATCATTAAACAGACAAAATGCATCCACTACACAACCACACACCTCCTCCACCACACACATACATCATTAAACAGCCAAAATGCATCCACTACACAACCACACACCTCCTCCACCACACACATACATCATTAAAAAGACAAAATGCATCCATTACACACACCCACATCATTCACTACAAACACATCATCAACCACATAAACACACAAACTGCATCCACTACACACACAGCATCCACTACACAAACACATCAACCCCATAAACACACAAACTGCGTCCACTACACAAACACACCCACATCATTCACTACACACACAGCATCCACTACACACACATCATCAACCACATAAACACACAAACTGCATCCACTACACCCATCATCCACTAAACACACACTCTGCATTCACTACACATACACTCAGCAGTCACTTTATACACACTACTTCCACTACACACACTTGCATTTACTATGTTCACAAACACTATATCCACTACACAGACACTGTATTCACTATACACACACACACTACATCCAGTACACAAACACACACTCTGCATTCACTATACACACAATACATCCACTATACACACACACACTCCACAAACATACAATCAGAATCCACTTTACTCACGCACTTTGTACTCACTACACACATTCTATAGCCAGTATACACACACAAACAAATTCAGTACACACTTCATCCTTGTGGGTGGACTTAAGATGGGCCCTGTGGGTGGACTTGGGGAAGGTCATGTGGACTGACTTGTTGGCAGGCCCCGGGGGGCCCAGACCGTGGGCTGTGTCAGGGGCCCCAAAATTTCTGGTGGCAGCCCTGTCTCTAGTATTCATTTTTAGGGAGGCCACATGGTGGGCCAGGGACAAAAGTAGGGAGGCAGTTCTAAAATGTGTGTGTGTGTATGTGTATATACACACGCTCCCTTAATCCCTCTGCAAACTACAGACTCAGCCAGGTAGGTAATGTGTCACACCTCAGATGTAGCCGTACTGTACGTTCAGCTCGCATCTACCCCATGGATTGAAGAATCTATGTCTATTCTCCCCCCTTCATCCATGTCATGGATGTCATTTGTGTGTAGTGGATGCAGTGTCTGTGTTTGTGTTATGGATGTAGTGTGTCTAGTGGATGTGCACGTAGTAGTGTCTGTGTAGTGTTGGATAAATACTGGGGGGTGAGCTCTTTAACCCCTTAAGGACCAAACTTCTGGAATAAAAGGGAATCATGACATGTCACACATGTCATGTGTCCTTAAGGGGTTAAATTAAATTGGGCTTAACCACCCTCCCTGCCTCCTACCTGTTGGCTGGAAGGGGAGGGACAGTGTGTAATAAAGTGACTGTATAGCAGGGCAGTGTGTAGGAAGGTGACAGTGTGGGAGGCAGGGTGTAGAAAGCCGCCACTGTGGGGGGCAGGGTGTGGGGATGACAGTTTGGATGGGCAGACTAACCGACAACATGCCCTCACTAATACACTCACTGGCAGTCATTGTCTCACATACTGTTTAACTAACACACACGTTCACTGATATGAACACACTCTCAGAGACACATGCACTCACTGACCTACACACTCACTAACAGACACGCACGCACACACACTGATACACTGGCCGAATACACACTGACAGTCACACACACATTAAATGACAAACACACAGACGTCACTCACAGACACAGACTCACGCTGATTTCACATACACACATTCACTGACACAGATACTCACTGATAGGCACACAAACACTCAATGACAAACACAGACTCTCACTGATGTGACACACAGGCAGACACACACACACATTCTCTTTCACACACACTTACAAATTACTTATATTATTTTAATTTGTCCACCTAGCCACCCTACCTTTTGGGAAAGCTGGAGTGGATCTGTACTTGGGGTCTAGTGGGGCTGCTGTGAGGTGGGCAGCTGTGAGCACATCAGAGGCGGTGAGGGAGCTTTAATCCTTCTGCTTCCTCGTGTGCCATCTACCGATGCAGGGAGCTAGAATATGACATTATATTTCAGCTCCTGGCATCAGTAGATGGCGTGAGGGAGCAGAGCAGGAGGATTACAGCTCCCTCACCATCTCTGATGTGCTTACAGCTGCCTGCCTTTGGGATCCATAAACTGCTTCCTCCAAAACAGGAGGAAGCACTGGGGACTCCCATGCGGGCACTTTAGGATAGATAAAGCCAGGGCCGGCCTTGGCCTTTAGGTGCTCTGTTTGAAAAATCACACACAGGCAGAGTGTGATGCACACACAGTTACAGTGATACAGAGGCCCACACACACAGAGGCAGACAGTCACACACACACACACACAACTTTCACAGTCACACATAGGCACACAGCCACACCCACAGAGGCAGCCAGTCACACACACACAACTTTCATGGGCACACAGCCACATACACAGAGGCAGACAGTCACACACACACAACTTTCACAGTCACACATAGGCACACAGCCACACACACACAGAGGCAGACAGTCACACAGCAACACACACACACACACACTTTCCCTTTATCCATTATGGGCTGGAATGGAGGCAGTGCAGCTCCTGGAGTCTGGATGTTGGGAAAGCAGGGACTCCTTCCTGTGCAGCAGTTACCTCCACCGATGTCTTCTGGGCACCGTTAGCCCTGCCCCACCATCATTTGGCCCCGCCCTGCCACACGGTAAGCCTCACCCCTGACACAATGTGTGTTTTGGGGTTTCTTTTGGTTTTTTTTTATAATCATGGGTGGAGGATTTATTATTCTCCACCAGGGAATATTAAAAAAAACAAACACATTGCCATTGATACAGTGCCTGCATTTGGGGGGGCACGGGCTACAGCCCTCTCTGCCCCCCCCTCCCCAGCAACGCCACCGGGAGAGACCGAAGCAGCAAGAGCATTTACACAGTGCGCAAAGTCCGCTTTACGTAAGCACATTTATATTCCATCAGTTCACACAAGTTTTATAACCTTACATCCCTCCTATTATAATTCCATATTCATTCCCCTCAGCACAAAGCAAGATCTTGTGAAGGTTTTTGTTGTCGTCAATGGGCCTATTCCATGTGCATGGGCCTGCAGCTTTAGCTCTGTCAGCCCCTATGTTAACCCAAACCTGGCCGTGGGGGGTATAAACTACAATGTATTTCCACCCCCCGCGGCTTACCCTGGGGCAGGGAGGGGGGAATCTGGTTCCCTGGTGATCCGATGGGAAATGCAGTATGTCTGCTCCCCTAGTGGGTTCTGACAGCACGTTCTGGCTGGTGGGCTCTGATACAGTACAAGCTAGGCAGAGCCTCCCTCACTCTGTTTAGTGCCAGCCCTGTCGGCCTCAGCTACCCATGGCAGTAAAATGGGCAGGCTAGTGAGGGACATCTGTGATCTCTCCTCCGGCCATACCATTCCGAAACCATGACCTCATTGGCTTTGTAGTAAATCTAGCCTTGGGGCCTGACACCTTTCTTACCGTTTGTAAATCTTCTGTGATTACCACATATGAGAAATTAACAGCTTCTAACAGTTAAGCCAATATGACGTCAACCATAATAAAGTTGGTTATTGTATTAATGTATTCTTTGGTGCTTGGGGGGGGGAGATAAAATTAAAATTCAATATTATTAATCAAATAAACACTCCAATCACCATGACCACAACAGCAAGCTGCCAGTAGCCCTAACAACCCCCCTTGTAAGCAGCAATACCATTTTTTAGTTGTTTGCCTTCTCACCCGTGGTCACCGCGAGGTTCTCCCGGCTTCCACAACCATCGCCGAAGATACAGAACTTCTGTTCGCTGTCCTGCAATACATGGCCACCTCAAAGGCAGAGTGCATCAGCTGATCCCGTTATTTTAGTATTATGTGTTTTTGTCCTATCATAATCCTGAGCATTATTTTATCATTCTATATTTTTGAGCAATGAAATCAAAGAGATGGGTACTAAACTCGCAGTATCTTCAATTCTCAGCTAATGTTTATGTTCCCATGAAATTAAAAAGAATGAAAGGGCTGTGGTCCAAGTAGCCACGTTTATTATTTATTGTGCGTATTAACAATTCATTCAAATTACCCAATTAATGCTGTATTCACATAATAATTGCCAAACTAGGTCAAATTAAACAATTCCCTGATTCCGCTGTAATCCCTAACTTTACAAATGTGGAAGATGTGATATCTCACAATAGATTTCGTGTTGCTAGTTACCAAGATAGGAAGAAGACGTTCCAGGTTTACCTTTGTAAGAAGTCCTGTACTTGTATTTTTTGTTAAAATAAGGAGAATAAATATGGCTGTTACACTGTACTGCTATCTACAACAAGCTGTGCGCGGAGCTGTCAGTAAGCTGATAGTGATCTTTCTACTGTCAGCTTATTTAACAATTACATGCATTCATTGTGATAACAGGTCAGCTCCTGGGAGCTGAGAAACATATCCCATAAACCCGATCAAATTAAACCGGGATTGTGGAAAACTGAGATCAAAATAGTAAAGTTGGAGAATGTTTATTTTATTTTTTTCTGTTTTGAAATTTGAAATGTTTCTGCCAATTATCCACAGTTTTTGGTTTGGGTTAGCCATGTCTGTGTTTACAGCAAACAAATTCAATGAAAATGTTCGACCAAATAAAGAAAAGCTGTACATGGGGCATGTGTTCATGAAATCTGAAACGCTGTGTATATATTGCGCTGTTTGCTTTGTTTAAATTGACATTTTCCGTCACATTGAATACCAGTGTCCCTGTTCTAAAATGGGGTTTACTGAGACCTGAATAATTAGAGCAAGTTAATAAAATAGGGTAATGGTGACAATCTGGTGGCAAAAATCTAGAGGAAGCTTAGTAAATCTTCGGGACTGTGTGACATCATATTAAAATTCCCTTGAATTACAGTGATAATGCACTTAGGGACACCCGGTGGGCATTTACCATCAAGGGCCCTGTCATGCGCTGTAGTGCCTTAATAGCGTGACTAGGCCCCTTTAATAATGGCATCGCTAGGACCAAGTGAGAGCTTCTATGGAGCCATGCAGGGGGGAGACAGGAGCACAGAGCAGAAGAGAAAGCCGGGAGGAGGAGCCAGCCCCTAACTACCAATAGCCTTAGCAGACTGGACCCCAGGGAAGCCAATCTCCCACACCCAAAAGGCAGGAAACGGGAGGGTGGCTAAAAATGTGATGTTTTGTATAAAACACTCAATAATTCCTGTACAACGAAGTACTCACTTTATTGATACATTTATAACAGGATCTTCATATTGCAACCTTGTTACACAGGGTTTCAAATCCCTCGAACATTCCACCAACTGCCAAGAGGAACAGGAAGTAAAGAACCAAAAGAAAGGAAGTGCATCATTCACAGCCAGCAACTGCCCATACATCACAATACATACACTCATACACAACCCAATCGCCCATACATCACAATACATACACTCACACACTCATACACAACCCAATCGCCCATACATCACAATACATACACTCACACACTCATACACAGCCCAACTGCCGATACATCACAATACATACACTCATACACTCATACACAGCCCAACTGCCGATACATCACAATACATACACTCACACACTCATACACAGCCCAACTGCCGATACATCACAATACATACACTCATACACTCATACACAGCCCAACTGCCCATACATCACAATACATACACTCATACACTCATACACAACCCAATCGCCTATACATCACAATACATACACTCATACACTCATACACAGCCCAACTGCCGATACATCACAATACATACACTCATACACTCATACACAGCCCAACTGCCCATACATCACAATACATACACTCATACACTCATACACAGTCCAACCTCCCATACATCACAATACATACACTCATACACTCATACACAGTCCAACCTCCCATACATCACAATACATACACTCATACACTCACACACTCATACACAGCCCAACCACTCATACATCACAAAAAAGTATACATTTTGTCCAGCGTGTATATCTGTATTTGTGTATCTGTATATTTGTGAATCTATATGTGTAATTTTGTCTGTGTGTCATTGTGTGTGTCTGTGTGTATTATCTGCATGTTTGTCAGTGTTTATCTGTGATTGCATGTGTGTCAGTGTCTGTTTTTATTGTGTGTAATTATGTGTAAGTGTGTGTCTGTGTGTATCTGCATGTGTGGCAGTGTCTGTGTATAAGTGCATGAATTTCAGCATTCAGATGCCAAAACTACACACAAGTATGCAACTAGACTCATACACACATACTCCATACAAAAACATGCTCACATGCAAACACACAAACACTGCTCAGTGCTAAATACAACCCTGAGCGGATGGCCAAATGGTAGACAAAGCATTGTGAGAGTTGTAAGGGGATCTACCTTTTGTGATGGGCAGGGGCTCAAAAAATTCTTGTACTAGGGCCCTCTCTATGACATGGGGTCCCCTTGACATCCTATTAGCTAGTGATAGTTTGGCCAGTTCTAGTGGGTGCAGTACGAAGCCTAATAGAAGGGTCCGGTCCCCACAAACCATCGGCTGTGGTATTAAGAGAACATTTTAATCAATGCCAGATTAAATACATTTTAATAATTTCAGAATAAAGTGTTGCCTGCCACGCTCTTTTACAAGCATCATATTTTCAACAATAATATTTGGCTAGTTTAATTTCGCCTGACGAATTAATGAGCCAATCAAAGTTTGAAAAACATCTAAATTTTTATATTTTGTATGGTAGGCTGAGGCTCACCTTGCACTATAGGCACCAAAACAACTTCAGCTTAAAGTGAGCCTGTTATGAATAATTTAACTTACCTTAAATCGCTCCCATATACATTGAAAACGCCATACATCACAAAGACGCGCGGTGTATTTAATGTCAGATATAAATATTTACTCACGTGTTCCCTGTTCCAGCACCACCATGTCCGGATCATCCTCCAATCCGCCTCTGTTCTTCTTTGATTTGCCCTGTTTGGGGATACGTCACCCATTTCTATACTCCCAGTCGGCACTAGAAGTGCCGGCTAGGGAGTTTCCATAGCAACCGCAGCGCTGTGGTTGCTCTGGAAGGAGAGCAGATGGAACTCATGTCGGAGGTATTTTCTGCTCTCCCTTGTTAGTCAATGCCTTGGCACTGAGAGAGAAAAAATATTATTGTAAAATAGATTTTTATCCTAGTAATTTATACATTTGCTAGTAAAACTGCTGGCATAAAATCTTATGCCCAGTCTAATATTTAGTTGCTTGGGGCATGACCGTTTTCATATATATATATCATGCCCCTGCTCAATTCTCTGCCATTTAGGAATTAAATCACTTTGTTTATGCAGTCTATGTCACGCTAAGGGTGCATAATTCATTGTTGCATTATAGAATATTGCCATTTAATGTAATTTGAATAGTGCATATATGAATTGGCCACTTGCAGGGCCGGACTGGGGATACAAAGCAGCCCTGGAAAAAAAATTTGTGCCAGCCCCATAAGTCACTGCGCCATATATTGTCGCGTGTAATATGTAAGGCTATGTCTTGCCATGACAGATGATTGAGTAATATATATATATTGCTTTTTCTAATATAAAATATTGGTCCTTTCAGGGTAAAATGTTTAATTATACAGTAAGCATATGCACATGCAGACACAGGCAATTTCACTGACATCTCAATGACACACACAAGCTCATTGATACACAGCCAGCCTCATAGACAAACAATCTTACTGATATACATCAGCTCATTGACATAAAAACACAAGCTCACTCACTAGCAGGCACACGCATGCAAGCAAGCTCACTCACTAGCAGACGCACACACACAGCTTAATGTGGTGGTACTGGTGTATATAGCATGTCCCTACAGGCTTTTCAACGTAAACACTGACTTTTCAGAGAAAAGGCAGTGTTTACATTGCTTCAAAGTGACACCGCTAGTGACAGTCACTAAGACGGTCACTAGAGGTGCTTCCTGTGTTAGTGCACCTACATTCAGGGACTCCACACTCTGTAGGTGCTGAACGTTCCCCATAGAGATACATTGATTCAATGCATCTCTACGAGGAGATGCTGATTGGAGTGGCGTTTTGCAGCCAATCCTATGGCAAAGCATTGGATTGGCTGAGATCATCAAGCTTGATGATCTCAGCTATAGAGGCAGGGCCAGTCGAGGGGAGACCAGCACGCTGCGTGGGGAAACAAAAAAGGTGAGCAAAAACACTATTTTTAAACACACATTTTCACCATGACAGGTACAGAAACACACATATACCATGACAGATACACACCCCATGACAGACACAGACACAGACAGACAGACACACACACATCATGACGGACAGACAGACACACACACCCCATGATGGACAGACACACACACACCCCATGACGGACAGACAGACACACACACACACCCCATGACGGACAGACAGACAGACACACACACACCCCATGACGGACAGACACACACGACACCCATGACGGACAGACACACACCACACCCCATGACGGACAGACACACAAACACACACCCACGATAGACAGACACACACACACACACACCCCATGACAGACAGACACACACACATGACGGACAGACAGACACCACACACACACACCCTATGACGGACAGACAGACACACACACACACACCCTTGACGGACAGACAGACACACACACACACCCCATGACGGACAGACAGACACACACACACCCATGACAGACAGACAGACACACACACCCCATGACAGACAGACAGACACACACACACACACCCCATGACAGACAGACACACACCATACAGACAGACACTATGACACAGACAGACAGACACACACACACACACCATACAGACAGACACCATGACACGGACAGACAGACACACACAACATACATACAGACACACACACACACCATACATACAGACAGACAGACACACACACACCATACAGGCAGACAGCACCATAACACAGACAGACACATTACTAGTACCTGACACCAGGGGGAGGTCTGCTGTCGGCCGCTGGGGAGGTCTTCTGGCGGCCGCTGGGGGACTTGTCCTGGCAGCCGCTGTGGGGAGCTGCGCTGTCTGTGCTCTCCCGCCCTCACGCGCTGCTGAATGAGACCGGCGCTGGAATATGACGTCATATTCCGGCGCCGGTCTCATTCAGCTGCGCGCTGGGGAGCAGAGCCAGCGCAGCTCCCCCCAACGACCACCAGGACAAGTCCCCCAGCGGCCGCCAGAAGACCTCCCCAGCGGCCGACAGCAGACCCAGCTGTCTGCCCGGCCCCAGGTGCCGACGGCCCACCGGGAAATTTTTCCGGTATCTCGGTGGGCCAGTCCGGCCCTGGCCACTTGGTTGCAAGGTCAGATGACAGAAGGGATAATATAAATTGCTCAGGAATGTGAAAGGGGTCAGATGGTTTACCATATGACTTGATCCTTTGATTAATCAAAGACTCTGCAAGGTGTGAGAAGTCACACATAAGTGGCCTGGTAGTCTGGTTTAAATATAAACTAGCTGACTTCAGCCATACGGCCTGTACCTTTTCAATGATGAGTTTATTTCTTTGATGTGTTAATGATCATTATATTTCAAACAAGCCTTGTGTTGCAGTATCATATCCAAAAGAAAGAAACATTAACATTTACCCCATAGAATAATAAGTAAGCCTCATTTTTGTTATATTTGGAATGTGATCAGCACAAGCTTCTAATCAAGCCCAAACATGATTTGCGTAACTTAACCATAGGGGAAGGGATTGTGATGTCTGCTATATTGGGTCACAAGTAAGGAGTGTTACATATATATGGATTGGGAAAATGGTAACAAATTCATACATGCAATTATTACTTCTGTGGCAAGTACATAAGAGGAGATAGAACCAAACTTTTCCATTTGGATTTAAGTGGGTCTGGAACACAAGGGGGTGGTCACTTATAGTTACTATATGCCTTATATTCACCTCTGGGTGAGGCTTGGTAATCCACAGGGTATATATCCAATGATACTGAGATGTATATTTGTATTTGTTTGGGGGCCGGAATCTAATTCTGAGTGAGTCACCACCTTTCTTACCAGAGACAGAGGTTTTACTTTGAAAACCTGAGTAAGTGATTAGGACTTCTGGCATTTTATCCCTTTTGTTTTTTTATCTGTTGTTGGTGTAACTAATTTGATTGTCATCTATATTTTGGTATGCACTGTGACAATTTTTTGCTCATAATAAATATTCCTTTATTAAGTTCTGCATTTGTCTGGTAAAGAATCACGTTACCTGAAGAGACTAATTAGCATTTTGCAATATGCTTAAATATTGTGCTAAGTTGTTTTTGGTGGGTTTTTATTATTAAGTTTCCTGGGGGACCAAGGCACCCTATTTATAAATTGTCTTGGTGGTGGCAGCGTTAAAATAGTAATATTTATATTATCATTCATTAAGTGTGAGTGGTATTAAGGGGAATGTTATCATTATTTCCGGTATAGTGCAGACTGTAACGGCTACCCTGGTGTGGTGAGGGTACCAGCCGTTGGGGACGTCCTTTTCTTCCTGGCAAGTCGCTGTGTAGTGATGGAGTCGCCTATTCCCTTCTGCTGGATCAGGAGTGGAAGCAAAGTACAGCTCTGAGAAGAGCTAAGTGATTAAGCTGCATAGATTCCCCTTTCAAGAACGA